TTAGTGAAAGTCTTACCTCCCAAAAATTGGGAGTGTTAATTCTGGGAGAAGACTGACCAAGAAAAACACAAAGAGGTTAAAATAAAGTAATGGCATTAATTTGGGAGCCTTAGATCTGAAAATTGGAGAGCACAAATTCAAGTCTTAGCCCAAATTGTGTCCCACTGAGGGATTTTTTTTTTTTAATGACAAATGATAAATGAGCAAGACAGACTGCAAAAGAAGCTTCAAAAAAAGCAGGGCATTGAGAAGGAGTAACCTGATGTGAGAGGGGAGCATTACTTTAGATTTAGTGGCTTCTGGGGAGAGAACATTTAAGCTGAGATTTGAATGCCAACATGGCAACCTTTTGAAAATCCATGGGGACCATGTCCTTGGCACAGGGATCACTGAGGGAAAGAGGGCCGGAGGCAGGAGTGCCCTGGATCTGTTTTGAGGAACAGGAAGGATGCCAAATATGGTGAGTAAGAGAGTGGGTGGACAGGGTTGAAGAGCAAGAGACAGTGATACTAGATGCCCTGTAGATTATGCAGGAAGCCATCTGGGAAACCCTGGAGAGAAGGACTTGATTGGATTTACTTTGTTGACACCACACTCTGGCAGCTGGAGGAACAATAGAGCACAAAAAAGGGAGTAATAAGACTGGGACGCAGGCTGGTGCAGCTGTCAGGGTGAGAGGCCACCTTGGCCAAGAAGGAGCAAACCGACAGGACTCACTTCTGGCACGAAACGAAAAGGAACACCCAAATACTCAGTGACAGAGAGAAATACCATTTGAACTTTAAAATAAATTTTTAAACATGCATGCGTTTATAAAATAATCAAAAAAACAATTTGAAGTTTTAAAATCTATATTTGTATCTAACTTTGATGTTTGTATTGTAGATTTAAAGTTTATAACTACAAGGTCGTCTTGGAAGTCTTTTAAAATCCAATTAATTTTTAATATTCTCTGAAATTAAAGAAAATCAAATTGGCAAACTACCGTCCTTGGACTAGCTGCTTATTTTTTTAAAGATTTTTTTATTTATTTATGCATACAAGAACTGGGGTACAGGCCAGAGGTGCGGGGGGCATGAGAGGATTCACCAGAGACAGAGTGGGGAGCAGAACGTGAAGACTGAATGAAATACACTGCTGAGGGGAGCAGCGGTGAGACAGGAGAGGTCTGCTGTGCCATGTGGGTCAGCTCCCTGGCCAGGGATCAAACTTGTGCTGCAGAGGCTGGGATTGCTTCACAGTGCTGTGCTTAACCCTTGCGCCACCAGGGAGGCCCTAGCTACCTATTATTATAAATAAAGTGTTTTTGGATCCAGGGATGGGTTAGAGTGATCAAGTGAGGTGAGTCAAGAAAGTGCTGGGTTGGGCACCAATATACATTCGCACCAACAGTGTGCAAGAGTCCCTTTCTCAGCACCCTTGCCAACACAGGCTGTTTTCCAGTCTTTTTGATACAGGCTGTTCTTATGAGTGTGAGGTGACCAGAGAGAACCTGCATGTAGAACTCACTGTTGCCTCTTTTGTGACCTACAGAGTCGCCCCTCCTAAGCAGACCTGTGTGGCGACCAAGAGTCAAGATCCAATGGCCATTTTTTTCACCAACAGAACAACAAGTTCTCCCCAAATGGTCGCATTTTCCCACTATGGTTTGGGAATGGGATTTAGCCAAACCTCAAGGTACGCTCCTCACACAACCTTTACAGGCCTGAGAGCTCTTTTCTTGTACAGGCAAGAGAGTGTTTCATGGGACTAGAACTAAGAAGTTTCTTACCCATGACTGCAGAAAATGTCAATACTGAGAAAAGGAATAGGACTGATGAAAGAGTGGAAAAAGATGAAAAGATGAAAAACATAAAACATAAAAAGATGAAAAGTGAATTATTGTAGATCCAGAAATCTAAGATTCTGAGAGACAAAGGAAGAGCAGTAAGTTCATATAACTAGGGAGGGGCCCAGGGCAATTATCCCAAAACAATACACTGCTATATGTTGCCTGTTCTGTTACAGGCACTGGGATGAGTAAGAGTGACAGACACAGAGGTAGAGTCACAGCTAATGAAGGGTTTGGGTCTAGAGACAGCATCTAAGATGAAAATCCCATGTCAGACAAGCCTTTAAAAAAATCTCTAATAGCTCTAAATGTTTATCATACCGTCTCTCGGTAAATCCAATGCACTAAAACGGATTTCTGTCTCTTCAGTGGGATACTCATTGAAGTAATTGATTTAGATGTTTTAGCTTGGTTTTGAGAGGGCTTAGTTTCCCATACATACTGTCAATCCTGCCTGCGATGACTCATTTGAAGATGAGTCAAGTGTTTTTACCCTCAAAAAGTCCATAGACTCATCAGCAAGCAAAGCGTAGTATGTGAGTAACTACAATACATGACAGAAGTCAGGGTTCTATGGGAGAGAGAAAGTACTAGCAGGACTCAGAGGAAAGAGGCATCATTTTCAGAGGAAAGGAGCATATAAAGGATTAGAAGTGAACTTTGTATCTGGAGTTCCATCATATGGCTATGAGGGTGCCAAAGAGCACGCAAAGCAGAGCAGAGTATAAATGGCAAAGCATGGAAGAGAAAAAGCAAGGGGCTAGAGAGAGCGCAGGGTCCCCTTGACTGCAGTCGAAGTCGTGGAAAGAGAAGAAGGAATCACTGAGGATTTTTTAAGCAGGAATATATTATCCTATAACAATAATCTAGAACGCGTGATGAATAGATCAGGAGGCAGAAGGAGTGGCAATTTAGCTCCTAACAGCCAGCACGACAGCTGTGCACATTTTCTAGTCTTCCTCTTCTGCCTGCTAAACCTGGATATGTCTTTGGTGCCACTACTTTACTCTGAAGAAGCTCTAAGTCCCAGGAGGTACCTGTTTCCAGGACAAGAGCGAGGAAAGTGTCGGCACTAAATGGTAGCTCAGGCGTTAAACAGGTAAGGGTTCAAACCTCAATTATGTCAATGACTGGTGTGAACTCAGGCATGTCATCTCAGCTCACTTCAGTGTCCTCATGTGTTAAATGGAATAATGCTACATTTTATGGACTCTCAGATGCACATTTTTTTTTACATTTCACTCTCTTAAATTCAGCAAGTACCTTATGACCAATAGCATGTCCAGGTTTAGCTGGCAGTGCTGTCGGTGAGAGTAATGGCATGACTTACTCTCATAAATGAGTCTCTTCCATGGAATAAAAACAGTATATCTGCCTCCTAGACTTGTCACATTTAAGTGAGCTATTGGAGCAGCATGCTTAGCTCTGTGTCCGGCATGTAGTTGGAGCGGAATTCACAGTAGCTACCATAACATGGACAAGACTGATGGAACCCAGACTGTCCATGGAATTCACTAGACCTGGGTTCCTATCCCAAGTCTGCACTCACTGCCTTGAACGAGCTATTTCATACCTAGAAGACGTTCCCGCATCTATCAAAATGCCAATCCAGTAGGCTTTATTTAAGAATCAGGTCTACTGGAGGTAAATGTTAGCAGCATTTCTCAAGATTACAAACTCACGTGCCCTTTTACCAGCAGCCTACTTCCAGGAATGTTTGCCATAGACTTGCAGCCAAGTGTCCAAAATATCAAGATTCCATGAACAAGATATTCTTGTAACACTGAAATAGCAAAAGGGTTGTGCTAGACAGCTGGAGAAAGAAATAATGCATTACTATCCAATGGAATATTATGTCTCTATCTCCTTGCTATGCAAAGACCTTCGGTATGAATTGGCCAGGAAAACAAGGAGTAAAGGAGAGAGTGTTGAGCATGTTGCTATTTGTGGAGAGGAAAATATGCAGCTTCTTATCACATGTAAAGCACTTGTCACAGTACCAGTACATGGTGTGAGAGCTTGCACATACATGTCGACAGTGGCCAGGCCACGCAGAGAAACAAGGCTCTGACCCAGCGTCTGGAGCAACCAACTCAGGAATCCAAACTTTCAAATGCAGAACGTGCCCAGGAAGCCAGCTGCTGGCTCTAAGCGAGGCTCGGAGGACATCAGACTCCTGCTGGCAGGGAGTCAAATAACCCCTGTAATAATGAGCCCCAAACGGTCAAGACTTGATTAATAACTGACACCTTCCCTTACTTTTTCCTCCCTTCTAACTTAGAACCAGCAGAGAAAGTCACACCTATCACACAGAACAACTCACCTCTAGCTAACCCACCTCTTGCTTTTCCCTCCCCCCTACCCCCACAACCCCCAACCCCTCACACCCCCACCCCCCCACACACACCCCCACACTCCTGTCCTTCCCAAATTCCTCCAGCCAGGGCACAGGGCACGCCTGAAGTCTTCCCCTTTCCCACTACAGAGCCTTCTCACTCCTCTGCCAGCCTTTGCATCTCTGCCAAGATGCAGGTGATGGTGGCTGACTCCTTTGCTACGGCTCTGAATAAATAGCCTGTACTTACTCTCATTTGAGTGGTTAGTGCCCGATAGCTAATCATTATATTGTTGTTAGTACTGCCACAGGGGAACTCAGACATTTTTCTTATTTTCTTTAGACAGTGGATGGACCTCCAGCCGACAGATGTCTTCTGGTATCTGGGGGATGCCCTCAGTGGAAGCTTGTCACTGAGCAGTGTGCTGGGAGCTTGGCTCCAAGGAGCCTGCGTGTTTCTGCATCACATGCCAACCTTCTGCCCCGAGACTGTTCTAAACGTAAGACCAGTTCCCAGTGTGGGCTGGAGCAAGGGCCAGAAGGGAAGCACTGGCAACGACCCAGTGACTCAAATGTCCCAAATTGGGTGAACCAAGAATTAAATTTGGAATGTCATTTGAAACTATTCACTACTTCTGAGAACAATGTCCTCTTACTTCTCTGAGCCATGTGTGGTGTCAGGACTTGGCTGCTTCATTGAATTACCGAAAAATAAACTTTCAAAAAGCAATAATGATAAAGATGATATGATATTAATATCAGCCATCATTTATTGACCTGATGTCGAAACTCATTTCAACATCATTTCATCTCCCCAACAACAGTGAGGGAGAGACTGGGGAAACTGAGGCCTAAAAAGATTGAGTAACTAGCTCAAATAATCATAGTGGTGAAACCAGGATTTAAACCCTGGTCTGTTGCACCCTATCCCATGATCCCTAAACTACCTCCACAATCCCAAGTTTTACTAGCAACATCTAGGCCTATTGTTCCTGGGATCCAGAAGTAAATGTCTAGCTGTGTATCCATTCAGTTACCATCTGATGAACACAGTGTTTCTTAGATCCAGAAAGGTAAAGTGAGATTCTCTTCCTTAGCTCGTCAAGATAAGGAAGTTGTCCCAGCTGAGTCTGGAAGTCTGTGATCCTCTCCCCTACACTTTTCCTCCAACATTCTCATCCCCATCTTTACATGTTGATTGGCTTTTTCTTTGGGGTGCAGGCCTTGCACAGATTTCCCATCACCACTCTATCTGGAAATCCAGGGGTATACCAGGAATTGCTTCAACACAAACATTTCATCAGGTAAGAGAGGACCTTCCCAGAGAGAGTCCATGTCTACTCAGGGTATGACAAACAAGACTAGGAACCTTCACTTTATTAAAGTAGACCCAATTCTACCCTTCACTCATTCACCTTTCTTGTTGCCATTTTTAACAATAAATCCATTTAAGAGTACAGGGATTTTCTTCCCTTATGACTTTGAAAGTCCATATCTTCTGGCTCCTCAATATAAAATTTGATTGTAATCAAAAGATTGGGTGTGGCTAACTAATTTGTATGTCTACCTTCAACAAGATAAATTTTATAGACAAATATATTGAATGTAAAATATAGGTCAGCATTAAAGCAAAGGCCAACTCTTCTAGTGAATAGAGATACTTCTAGACCTTTAAAAAATAAATTTATGTCTCTATCTACCTCCATAGAAATATATTCTAATACTGGTGAGAGATTAAATAGGGAGTATCACACTGTATTTTTCACTCCACATTGTACCTTAGACCTTCCTTCAGACGGCTGGCCACTTTCTAACAGTCAATCATTTCTATCAGTTAAATGATCCATTCACTTTTAACACTAATGCTTCTACTCCAGAAAAACAAATGAGAGTCTTCATGGAGACTGATCCAAGTGGAAGGTCTGAAATAGATTTATTTAATAAACTAGAAATAAAAACATCAAGACCACTTCATGAGTACCTCCTACGTATTTGGCAATATCTGTATCATTTTCCCAAGAGTCTTCCTTACAACAGACCTGTTATTGGTAGAAATGTTCACCAAGCCTAAGAATAACTTGTGATGACCCTCCAGCTACAGATCCAAGAGCCTGAAGCATTGTGTGTCTGCAGGAGGACCCATAAGCCCTGGGATGATAGCAAACTGGAAATGCATCACTAAGTTGAACATCTACGAAGGCTATGCGAAGACTGAAACTGTAGGTTGATACTGGACGGTCAGTCAGTTAATACTGTCATTTAACCACACTTGTCCATTTACTATGTAAACACTTTGTCAAAGCACCAGGTGCACGTGCAGATAGCTGGATCTTAAATACATGAGGAGAAAAATGGCTTAAACTAGAGAGACTCTTCTTTGATCATAAGACAAAGGATTATGGGCAAATGAAATATTCTCTCACACTGCTGAGAAAGGAACATGTTAAAAGACACCCAACAGCAAGTGCTAGAGAGGATGTGGAGAAAGCGAAACTGTGATGTTCTATTGTTTGCTATGTGTTTGCACCGGGTCCACCTGCTGTGATGAGTTGATAGTCTTACATATCTTTAGTCTTTGGATTTCCTCATTATCTCTTTTTTCTCTTTGTAATTTGTTACTTGAAAAAGGTAACAAATTGCTGAGATGTTGGTCCTTTCAAATATTTCCCAGTCTGGGTTTTGCTAGTTGCACCCTTAAGGCGTTTAACATGTTGGGGTTCCTCTGCATTTCCTTACAATTGGTAGATAGATCTGGAGGTGTAATCATATCCCTGCTTTATTTTTTTTCTTTTCCTATACTATTTCTTAGGTCATATAATATTCTTCCATCAGGAGGCATATAAGGTGTGGTTATCTCTTTTTTTTTTTCCTGGCGACATCAGATATTGGTGATTAATGGCTAGGTCAATTTATTCACTCCCTTTTTAAAGGCAAAAACTTTTCTGTATTTCTTTAATGCAGGGGCTGCTCTGTGCCACTTCCAAACAAATGAAATTAAAGCCAGGTTCTCTGGGGAAGCCACTGCCACCTTATATTGTACAGGTAAGAAATCATAGGTAATGAGTATGACAGTTATTGTTAATTGAGCTCTTACTAAGTGCCAAACAAGGTCCTTACCACTTAGCAATGTTATTTCATTTGCTCATGGCCACAATCCTAACACAAGAGTATCATTACTATCCCCAATTAATGGATGACAAAATTGAGGCTTAACAGGTTAGAGTAACTTTACCAAGATTACCCAGCGAATAAGTAGCAACTTCCACTTTCAATCATGACTTCACTGGTGTAAGGACAACCAACATTTGAAGGAGAATTAACAGCAATTCTTCACAAATTCTTCCCAAAAATATGAGGGGGAGTTTTGATGGCTGGTCTCAAAGTGAGAATATCAAATGAGGCCAGGACAATCCAACTGCCGATATCAAAGAGCTCACAAGAAAAGAAAACTACACAGTAATCTACCTCAAAATACTAGCAAACATAACTAGTAGCATATAAATGGTTTATATACCACATGGAAGTGGGATTATTCTAGACATACAAGCTTGGCTCAACATATGGATATCAATCAATATAACATAGCATACTAATAGAATCAAAGAACAGAAATCCATGATCATCTCTATAATGAAGAGAAAAGCATTTGATAAATTACAACAACTATCAATGATGGTGAGGATGTTGAGAAAACAGAAGCACTCTTACACTGTTGGTGGGAATGCAGACTGATCTCTTGTGTGACCCAATAATGCCATTCCTAGGTATCTACCCAAAGAACACAAAAACACTAATTCAAAGCAAATACTGCTCTCCCATGCTCATAGCAGCACTAATTAAATAGCCAAAATGTGGAGACAACCTAAATGCCCAAAAGCAGATGAGCGGATCAAGAAGAGGTGGTATATCTATCCAATGGAATACTACTCAGCAATCAAAAAAGATAAATTGATGCCGCTCTTGGCAACACAGATGGAGCTGGAAGAGATTATGATAAGCTAAATAAATCAGAAGGAGAAAAATATCAGATGGCATCACTTATTGGTAGAATACAGAGAAACTAAACAAAGGAAAAGATAAAACCAAACTTAAAAACTAACTCTGAAAAATTGGTTCTAGAACGGAGGAATCCAGAGAAAGAAGGGAGCCATGAGAATAAAGTTGGGAGGGAGCAGGGTGGATTGAGGTGGTGGATCCCCAGGTGCTTTTGGTGATGGGTGAGCCATAGCAATAATACTTGAAGTGTGTGCAGAAGGGGGCGGAAGGAGGGAAACACAAATAATGATATAAACCAATATTATAACCTTAGTGCCAAAAAAAGTGTTAAAAAAAGGAATAAAGGGGAAGTTTCTCAACAGGATAAATAGCATCTACAAAAACCCACAGCTAACATCACACTTCACAGTGAAAGACTGAAATTTTCCAAGATCAGGATTTACAAGGGAGTTTGCTCTTACCACTTTTATTCAGCACAGAGGTTTTATCCAGGGCAATTAGACTAGAAAACAAAATAGAGAGCATACAAATTGGTAAAGAGGAATGGAAACTATCTCAATTCAAAATGATTAACAATTTGCAAATAGGGCATTTTAAGGAATACACACACACGTAATAAATGATATCAGCAAATTTTCAGGATACAAAACCAAATGCAAAAATCAATTATACTTCCATATGCTAGCAATGAACAATCCAAAAATGAAATTAAGGAAACAATTCCATTTACCATAAAATCAACTTCTCAAATCTCATTTGAAAATTGATTCGCCAGATAATTCATTTTGTCTGCTAGACTTGGACACCTGTTTTTCCCCCATAAAGCAAGTTTGTCTTGGAGGCATGAAGTCTTTCTTACTGCCCCAGAGACTTTCTGACTCTTAGAGCTGGCTGTTCCTATGGAAAAAAATCTAGAGTATTCAGCAAGGACAATTCAGAATAAGAATGAATATTTCTTTCCAAGGTGACAACTTGGAAGGGTATAACCCTTAAAATTGGGTGTGTATTTAACATTTATTCCAAAATGTTATCAGAAGTCTGGAGATACTTACTACGAGGTGAAAAATCACTGAGTAGAGGTCAGGATGTAACTTTTGCCACTTCACTCCATGATCACACCTGCTCTTTCCCTGCAATTCCTGCTTCCCAATAGTCTGTACTAGTTGGATATTTCATCTTATCCTCAGAATAAAATTCAGAGTGTTCATTTTCTAGATGAGGAAATTGAGCTTTAGAGAACTGAAGGATCCAGGTTGTCAATGTCAGCGGTGGAGAGTAGACAGTCAAACCCCGCTCTTTCCCACTCTGTCCCTCTGATGCAGTAGCCACTGCCTCTCAGTTTGCTGTCTCTACGCCAACCAACCAACCGAGCAATTTCCTAGATCCCTGTGGGGACAGTGAGGTGATAGCCTTGGCTTTAGATCTCCTGGTGTTTTAGGAACAGAACAAATGTTGTGCAAGGAAAAATCCCTTCATGGTTTCTGAATTTCAGATTGTGGATGAAAACTCAAATACCTTGCCTGCAGGAGAAGAAGGGAATATTGCCTTTCGTGTTCAGTGGAAGCAACCCAGCTCACTGTACTATCCACACATGGTAGGGAAGACTTTCCTTTCTCTAAACACTCCCACTGTCATTACAATAATGGTGTCGTCAATCTAGACCATTGCATGATTTGCCAGATACTTTTGTGTCAACATTAATTTTGCAAATTGTCAAATCTACAAAATTTTTTTAAAGATTTATTTATTTATTGGGCCTCCCCTGGTGGCGTAGCAGTTGAGCGCTAGGCTGCGAGGCTGCCCGCAGCCTCTGCAGCACCGGTTCGTTCCCCGGCCACCGATGAGGGTCCCACCAAAAAAAAAAAAAAAAAAGATTTATTTATTTATACAAGCACTGGGTACAGTCAGAAGAGCGGGAGGGTGAGAGGATTCACCAGAGCCAGAGCGGGGAACAGAACAGGCAGACTGACAAAATACACTGCTGAGGGGACCAGCGGGCACAGCAGGAGAGGTCTGCGTGCCATGTGGGACCCACACCGGCAGCCGGGTATCGAACCAGGGCTGCAGAGCCTGCGGGCAGCTTTGCAGCCCAGCACTCAACTGCCGCGCCACCAGGGGAGGCCCTACAAAAATTTTTTTAAAAATAGCACAATGAACACCTGCATGCTTCTCAGCTGTACACACATTGTGAGTATCTTGCCTCATTTGCATTTATATGATTTTGAAGAGATATTTGGGAGACAGTGCAAATACAACACTTTGTCCTGAATTGCCATTACCTGAGAAATTAAATACAATTCCTTCATTTTATCTAATATTTGTTGTATATTTCTATTTTTTCCCATTGTCATCAAAATGTATTTCTTAGTTTTTGTAAATCCAAAATGTGATCAAGGATCATTTATTTGGTTTTCGTGTGTCCAGTTCTTTTGACTTAAAACAAAGCTGACCTTTTTTTTGGTTTTGATAACATAAACATTCTTGAAAAGTAGAGACCTGTTTTCTTGTTAAATGTCCCTAATTCTAGATTTATCTATTGTGTCCTCATAATGAGACTTGGAATATCCATTTCTAGCAAGGCTATTACTTAGGTGATGTTGCATATTTCTTATTTCTTCTAATTGGGGAAACTTTGTGTTATCCCACTTTGGAACATGATAATTTTGATCCTTTGAGTTAAGGTTTTCACTACCAATTCTCTCCATTGTCAAGATGCATTCCCCCTCTTTTATGATTATTAAGTAATCTGTGGAGTAACCATGTGAAATTCCATGACTATCTTATTCTCCAATCAACTGTCATCCAGTAATTTTCTGATTCTTTCCTGGATCAATTATTAACATACAGGATGCAAAATGGTGATTTTAAACTGCCATTCCTCATGCATTAATTAGGTGGCATTTTTCTACAAAGAAGAACTTTTCTTTTTTTTCCTTCTAATGGAGATTTTTCTTTTAATTATTCTTAAACATAAATATATAATGTAGTCAGCCTTTATGGCAATAAAACTGATCTATGTTCAATATAGAAGATGTTGAAAAATACAGAAAAAGGCAAGGAAGAAAATTCTTTTCACTCATAATCTGCAATTATTGCCCACTGCTAATATTTGGGTATATCCCCTTCTATTATTTTTTGTTTATATATACTGTTTTATGAAATTGTGTTTTCACTTCTACCTGATATTGTGTAACTTGCTTTTTTACTTCTCATGATTTTCACAGATCAACTAATCTTATACGACAAAAGTTTTATTAATTTCACAATATCCCACCAAATGCATGATTTATTTGACATATCCACTCTTGGTGGAAATTTTAAGCCCTGAGATTTTATCTTATAGATATTCCTTCAGTGAACCTCATTTCTCAACTCTTTAAATGACATTTTAATAATTCCCTGTGGAAAATAGCAAAAACAGAATTCCTGAGTTAATAACTAGGTAAAATATTAAAAATATTTTAATACTGTAGATTTCCCTAAGAGGCAATGACCAAAACTTCCAAACTATGACAATGTACCTTAAATACACAGAAACCTAAAAATGTCTTTCTCTCCCAGGGCTTGGGAATTTCAAAGAAATTATCTCCTATGCCTACTGGGGTATTTTTTGCACTGTTTGGGAATGAGTTGCTTACATAGTGTTTTACAGAAGTCATTAGAACTTTAATAAGTGGTTTGTCACTTAGATCTAAGAATCTGGACAAATTCGCCATGTGACTCTAGCAGCCGTCCCAGTCCAGTGCTGTTAGAATCTGTGGATGTCCTTGAGATGTGATCAAGCAACATAGGGCTGATGGTGCAAAGGGGTATAGGTCTGATCACCCCATTGTGCTTCTGGTGTAAGAATCTCAATCCAAACCCACCTTCTTCTGATGGAAAGTCTGTCATGGGCAGTGTGGAAATTAAAGGCAAATTTAAAGCAGCGATTGTGTTCGATGGATGACAAGCCTGAGCAGAGCAGCCGGCATCCCTGCACACACTGTCTAGACCCACGCCAAGCGTCAAGCTTGCATTGCCCCATTATGGCTCAGGTACTTTCATTATTCCTATTTCCTGCTGGATAAAGGGGGAACTGATGCTCAAAGGGGTCTCCAAACAAAGGAATTTTCTATGTGGGACACCCCTGGAGAGGGGAAATCTGTGAATTTTTTCCATCTCTTTTTGGGACTAGCTACACTGCTCAGTGCCATACCATTAAATGTTTGTGGAAATGGAGTAAATCTGTTTCTGGATTTCTTATTCCATCAGGTGAATTGGGAGGAATACACTTCAGCAAGAGACCACATGCTTTACCTCACAGGGGACAGAGGCATCATGGATGAAGACGGCTACTTCTGGTGGACTGGTAGAGCTGAGGAGGCCATCCACACGTAGCCACCTGCCATGAAGAATTGTGGATACTGCTACTGAGCTTGGGGGCTGGGAGGGGCAGGGCAGGGTCTCTAGACTACCTCAGAAACAGGTGTATGGAGTTATCTCAATTTTTAAAAAATAGGGCCACCCTGGTGGTGCAAGGAGTTAAGGCGCAACCTATGAAGCTATCTGCAGCCACTGCAGCATAAATTCGATCCCTGGCCAGGGAGCTACCCACAAGGTGCAGCAGACCTCTCCTGACTCGCCCGCTGCTCCTCTCAGCAGTGTACTTCAGTCAATCTGCCTGTTCTGTTCCCCACTCTGTCTCTGGTGAATCCTCTCACCACCCCCCAACACCTCTGACCTGTACCCAAGTTCTTGTATGCATAAATAAATAGATCTTTAAAAAAATAGATCTACATTACAATCCAGCAATTCCACTTCTAGGTATCTAGAGAAAAGATGCAAGAACACTAATTTGAAGGGATATATCAGTCCTCTGTCCATTGCAGCCCTATTTACAATAGCCAAGTTATGGTAACAACCTAAGTGTCCAACAACAGATGAGTGGATTACGAAGAGGTGATATATTCTATATGTATATGAATACTACTCATATATATGTATATGAATATACTCATTTATAAAAAGAAAAAATCTTTTGTTGCCATTTGCAACAATATGGATGGAATTGGAAAGGCTTGTGCTAAGTAAAATAAGTCAGAAGGAGAAAGGCAAACACCAGATGATTTCACTCATATGTGGAATATAGAGAAACAAGACAAAGGAATAGAAAAACTAAACCAAACAATTCCCAGAAGTCTGAGTGTGGAATAGAAGCTACCAGAGGCTGAGGGTCAGGGAAGAGGAGAAAAGGGGGGCTGGGGAGTTCAATGGACCGTGGTGTGAACATATGCCCCCCTATCATATGCAATGCTTCTGTATCTCAATAAAAAGAATACAATAAAATAAAAATAAAAATAAATTCACTGGTAAAGTAAAAAAAAAAGTTTTTTGTTTTTCTAGGGACAAACTGGGCAAATATTACAAAAAAATAAAGAATTAAAGTGAAATCAAAATTAAGAAAACTTAGAAAATGCTAAAAAGCAAAAATCATTCACAATCTTGTATTTTAGAGTATCATCTTCCAGTCTCTTTTCTTATGTATAAACAGAATCTAGTAAAAGTGAGTTCATTCAAGAAACATTCTAGCACAACTTATCTTTTTTTCACTCAACAAGACAACAGAAATATTTTTCTGGACAATAAAATATATAATACATGTTTAAATTTTAACTGAGTAACCTGCATGGTAAGTCCACAAATTTTACATCAATAGTTCAAGGCATGTTTTCACATGGCCACCCATATATCACCATCCAGAACAAGATGTCTTGATATTTCCAGCTGCCAAACATGCCCTCTCGTGTCCTCACCCTTCAGGAAGTCTCTCCTTTCAGAAACTTTTGACGAACCTTCTGTCTGTGCCTCATTTGACCTCAGGAACTGAGAAAAGTAGAATAAATTCCAAGGAGAAGTAAATTCTGTGGATCATCTGGGGCCAAGACCGTCCTATAGGTTATCCTGACTCAGAGCTTGCTGATTCCCAAAGTCACAGGAATATTGAACTACAGCAAGGAGAGGAAGCACCCCTCCCTCTGGGTCAGCAACTGGCTTTCCCACGCTTTTCTTCACTGAATTAAAAATAATAAATCAACGAAATTTTGCTCAGGAAGCCACTCTTCTTCAAGTGCTGCTGTAGCAGCTCTGAAGGAAGTGTTCGCCTTCACCTTGAACTGGTTTCAGCTTTCACTCTTAGCCACCTTCCCCCACCATTAGTAACCATTATTCTGACTTCAAAAACCATAGATTAATTTTGCCCGGAATTCATTGTTCAGGGTTTTAAAAAGTAACTTGTATTTGCAGCATACAATTGGAATCATACAGCCGATCATTCAGTGTGTGATCTTTGGTGTCTGAATTCTTTATCACAAACTTACACCTGTGAGATACATCTATGTTGTTGTCTGTCTCTGTTTCAGTAGTTCCTTCTTTTTCATTGCTGTGTGGCATTCCATTGAATGAATATACCTAGAATTTATTTACCCATTCTACCATTGATGAGAGTTTGAAATTGTTTCCAATTTGGGATAACACGAATAAATCTGAAATGAATATTCTTCTACATTTCCATTGGTAAACATATGCAGAGATTTGATCGATACAGATCTCTGAGTGAAAATATTGAGTCATACCGTATATATAAAATTTTTCTAATTGCTAATATATCCTCCAACTATGGTGGAATAAAATGTTCCGGCTTAATGAAAGTTCCAGTTACTCTATATCCTCACCAACACATGTTACTGTGAATCTTTTAAATTTTAATCATTCTGATTCATGTTAGTAGTATTTATTATAGTTTTAATATAATTTAGGGACACATAGTTATTCATTCTGTCAAGATACTAAATTTTTTACTTTACCAATTCCTGCTGATCATTCAGAGTCTTGGTTGCTTGTTTTATTTTCAATTTTTCACTTAAAAAACACTTGAATAGTCACCTTTTAATGTAAATTGTCTGTGTGATAGTATCAGGCATGAAAAAAAAGATCTTATACACTTAAAATCATAAGAAATCTTATGAACAATTTTATACTCTAGATGCAGAATTTTCTGGCTCAAAGAATATAAAAATTTTAAAGTGTGCTACTAAATTTCCTTCTAGATAAATGGCCTCATTTATCCTCATACACACATTATGGAAAATGCTAGTTTTTCTGAACCTTCTGAACCACGGGTATTTTTTAAGTCTTTGTCAATGTGAAAAGTGAAAAAATATTTCCTCATTAGTCTTATTTGTCCTTTGGTTCTAGTAAGATTGGAATTTTCCTCATGTTTATTTGTTCTTTACCCACTTTAAAATCTGAATGTCTGTCTCTTTCTTACTGTTATTTAAGAGCTTGAGATAAAGTGAAGATATCATGCTTATAATTATCAAATTTGCTGCATATAGAAGTTACTTTTTAAAATCCTGAACAATGGGTTTCCCATGACAGCTGTGTGCAATAGGCAGTAGGATGGAGGGAGTTGTGTGGCTTATGCAAATAAAAGTCATCAATATGCAGCACTTCCACCTACCAGCTATAGCCAAAAACACCTGTTCACTAGCAGAGAACTTTTGCATTGTTATTATTTTGAAAGATCACAACTGTGGGAGGAATGTGCCACTAATCCAGTTCAAGGAAAACCATTCCATTGTATCAAGACCACTTGCTAGATTTTCAGTAGCACCCTGAGATACCAGGAGACACAATAGGGTTATTTTCATGGAAAAAGGAAATAGGTCATAAAGAATCAGGATTAAAAAAAAAATCTATAAAGCCCCATTATGGAGGAGTCCCTAAGCAGCCAGATTATGTGGAGAAAATGAAGCAAGACAAGCCCTCAAATTAGGAAATACTCATTACAGGCCAGGGCCCACAGCATCTTTATACATAAAGGAATCTGGATTTGCAATGACAAAGGAAAATGTAGTAGGACATACTGTAGTGTGTGGCTGGAAGTTATTCTGGATATTGTGTAAGAATCCCATAAAAGACAACTTTGAGTAAAGCCAGGAAGTTGCTAACTACCTACATAAGGAGAGTGGGCCAGGGCTTGCTTTTTGAATAAGAGGGTTATGCAAGTTTGGGGCCAGAACTGAATTGCTTCGAACCGAGCAGAAGAGACTGTGCGTGTCACTTATGTTTTTTAATTCCTCTTCTCCCACACAGCAAATACTCTTGCCTCCAAATAAATGTTGAACAAATATGAAGACTATTGGTTGAAGAACTAACAGAGGGATGACACATGGAAAAGACTGGGAAGGGAAATGGAGAGACACCAATTTTCATGGGACTCACTTTAATTCTCAAGCTGCTCCCTCCTCCCTTCCTTACAAAAGACAGAGAAGATGAAAAGAAGGTAAAGTCAGGGTGAAAAAACAGCTACTCCCCTTCCCTTGCCTGTAAAGTAAGAGATACTCCACCATCTCTTATCCACAATTCCCAAATCTGAGAAGCTCTGAAAAACAAAAATGCCTTTTTCATCTCATTTGGCAGCAAAACCTGACCTGACAGGGAGAGAAACTATGTATAGTTTTCTTTTGTGCTGCTTGTGGGACTATTCCTCATTTTACTGCAGAATACTTATGAGAATGATTTCAGCAAGCTGTCTCAGACCCTGCTGGGGAGTAATGTGGTTCTCTTTCTAAAGGCTGAAAAATTCTGAATTCTAAAACTTGTTCACTATCTGGGTCCAAAAAAGGAATAATCTTCGAAGAAATGTCAGAAGTTGCAAATGAAGAAATGTTCATGAAACACCCAGAATAGTGCCTGCCCTCCAGAAAACAGGAGCTTCATTTCCCTCTGGCCATATCTTTGCTTCTGTGAATAAGAGCCCTTCTTCAGATGTTAATTCCAGGCAGGCAAGATTCAGATATTACAAATGTAATTCTGGTTGAAAAATACCTACCACTTACATAATGTACATAGAGCTAATATCCCTAATATGTAAAGAGTTCTTATAGAAGAAAAAGACCAAACTCAATAATAGGCAAAATACATGAATAGAAAGTTCACAGAAAAAGATGTTAAAAATTGGTCTCAGATATAAAAAAGAAGCTGCAATGTTTAATTTTATATGAAAATATCAAAAAAAAATTTTAAATTGTATTTCCCAGCTCCGTGTTCTAAAAGACCCTAGAAACAATAGCATCTAATAGTAAAGAGTCCAAGTAGAGTCTAAATCTTGATTTTGAAATACCAATCCTTATTCAAGAGGCTCCCAGGAGAAATTGTTGCTTCTACGTGTTAAACAGAAAAAATACCGAACAAGTCTGGACTATTATATTATAACATAAAAGCATAATCAAAGAATGATAGGGGTATGTCAAAAGGTCAGCTCGAAAGGGCTCCTAGTGGCCAAATTTGAGAAAAGTTGGGTTTCATAAAGGACAATTGCTGCAATTGGTTAAAAG